TAAGCCATGCATAGTAAATTTTCTTCATTGTTTTATCTAGGGCTGGGAGGGGGGCACGACCCCCTCTGACTTGTACTAAGCTCCGCCACTGCCTGAGAACAAGGTTGAAGGGTGGTGTCAATGTTAGGCATGCAACGGATTTGAGATTTGAGAAGCACGGAGACGGTCCTCACTTAATATGCCACAATGACTATGGCTCCCCTAGTGGCGGGCCTCTTCCTCGACTCACAAAGCGCACATGGCGAATTGGCGATGATGTTCCTTGGTGTCTGATGACGACAAGCGGCAAGGAAGACGGTTGCAAAAAAACTCCAAGGGCTTTGTTGCAGCTAAATTTTCCGTGGTTCTTTTTACAAATATATCCTCCCTCCATGTCTCGTGATTTCCACGAGTACATGCTGTAATTTGACATTTACCCAATGGCATGCAGAAATTTCTTTAAAAAAAGGAAAAATGAATTTTGGTTGAAATGAAATAACCGGAAGGCGGCTATACTTTCTCTTCCGCTACGATGATTGCAATTGCAAGAAAAGATCTTGCGCACGAAGGCACGCGGAGTGGCGAGTTTAGACAGAGAGAGCATCCAGGCCAGGCCAGGGCCGTGGAAATCGGGGTTCGTGGGTGGGGGCGTGAGGCGGTTACCCGCGAGGTCGTGCGCCCGCTCCCCTCTCGAATAAAGCCCGACCGTCCGATCCCCGCCCGACGCTCCCCGTCGCGCCACGCGCACCGCTACACCCCCTGTCCACACCCCATAGAAGTTACAGAAAGGGCCGCGCCTCTTGCGGGGCACTACTCGCACGCGCTGCGTCTGCCGTCTTCTCTCCTCTCGATCGGCTGATCAGGCAGGGCAATGGCGCGAGCACCCGGCGGCGCCGCCCGTCGGAGGGGCGGCAGGCGGGACGGCGGCGGCGAGGCGGTGCGGAAGGGGCCGTGGATGGCGGAGGAGGACGCGGTGCTGCTGGAGCACGTCCGCACGCACGGCCCGCGCGACTGGAGCTCCATTCGATCCAAAGGCGCCCTGCAGCGCACCGGCAAGTCCTGCCGCCTCCGCTGGGTCAACAAGCTCCGGCCCAACCTCAAGACGTACGCATGCAGCAACCGCCATTTCTATCCATTTCCTCCTCCTCCTCCTCCTTCTTCTTCTTCTTGGCACTGTTCAATCGCGCTGTGCTTCGGTTGAACTTGTGTATGTGCGCACGTTCTAAGAAGTCAGGCTGCATCAGCGCTAGTATAATCCAATTTACCCTAGTTTTCATCGCTGATTAACAATGACCCTTGCCCGGCACTAATTGTCTGACCGGCAAGAACAGAGACAGCAAGTGACAACGATTGTTTTCTACTCCCTCCGTTCCTAAATATAAGTCTTTGTAGCGATTTTACTATGGACCACATACAGATGTATCTAGATGCATTTTAGAGTATAATTCATTCATTTTACTCCGTATGTGGTCTATAGTGAAATCTCTCCAAAGACTTATATTTAGGAACGGAGGGAGTACTAGAGATGATTACCAACAAATGCATCTTTTAACGAACTGTTAACAAGAAAATGGCCAGATGAGAGAGACAACGACAGTGATGTGCACAGCATCGTGTTATCCTCTGCAACTTGCGCTATCAACCTTGGCTGAGAATTCACAACGGCAGTGCAATTGCAACCTGACATTTTTTTTGCTGAAGTGGCTGCAAGTTCTCCGCCGACGAGGAGCGGGTGGTGATCGAGCTGCAGGCGCAGTTCGGCAACAAGTGGGCGAGGATCGCCACCTACCTGCCGGGCAGGACGGACAACGACGTCAAGAACTTCTGGAGCACCCGCCAGAAGCGGCTCGCCAGGCTGCTGCGCGCGCCTCTCCGCGCCCGGCCCAGCAAGACCAGGAGCAGCAACACCAAAGCGCCCGCATCCTCTCTCGAGTCCGCCATGGTGAGTACGTACTCGCAAAGTTGCAGTTTACCTTTCGCATTCTTCAGATAAAATTGTCATCTATCTACTGTAATGCATTCACAGATTTACTGAACTTGCTCGGCACGCACTCGTTTCTCTGTCTGAAACTCTGAATTTTGAACGCCAGGGTTCTTGCCATGATCATGTTCCGTCCGTGGGCAACTCCTCCGGCGGCCAAAGCTTCCCGGCTGCACCGCCCATGGAGCACCAGGACACCGCGCGAATCTCGCATGATCAGATGTGCTCTGGATTCCTCAGTTTCGAGCCATTGCCGCTGCAGGCAGCAGCACCGTCCACCACCGAAGGAGAAGCGAGCTCGTCGAACGCAGCTTATTACCAGTTAGCCCCAGAGTCGTCGTTTTATCATCATCCCTACCATCTGCTAGAATTCCCGGGCTTGCCGGAGAGATGCGGCGTCGATCCCGGCTTCGTCGGAGCGAGCGCCATGGATGATCTCGCGTACCACGACCTGCTTCCGCCTCTGCATCCTGCGCCGATGATGATGCCGTTCTTCGGTATGGAGTATTCGCGTGATGGCATCAAGGTCGAGACTCGGGACAACTTCTTCGACGACCTGCCCCCGGACGTGTTCGACTCTTTTGATCAGGTGCCGCCGCCGTTCTCGCCGTCGGCGACCAACTCTGAACTCTAAGTAATGTTGGATGGGCTCTAATTGGACTACCTGTTCTGGCACAGCTGACTGGTAGTGTTACCTACTGATGAGTGTTGTAGTGTAGCCTAGGTTCCAACCGACTTGCGTTCTTCCAATGCATCGAGTTGGAACTTGTTTTCGAAGTGTTGCCAAGTAGATGCAGTTAGTATGGTGTGTAAGTATTTCTGAAATTTAGTACACTATATGCTATGTGAATATATTTATTTGGTATAAATGAACACTCTTATCTTCGGGAAGGATCATCATGGCCGGTAATTCTACACTGAGCCCACATGCTCATTTGCTCCACATGGACAGTAAATTTAAATAAAAATAATTCAAAAAATGCACTTTTTGGCATAGAGGATGCTCAAGTGCACTAGATGCGTGCAAATTTCGTGGTTAACTGGCATTCGGGGAGATATCGGTAACAAAGACAAAATCAAGTCTAAGCAGTGCTCTTTTTAAAAATTTCTTTGACAACCGAATTTTATTTTGCCGAGAGATCTTTGAATGTCATTTCACCACGAATTTTTGCACACACCTAGCGCACTCGGGCATATTCAATGCCAAAAAAATTCAGATTTTTTTAATTCTTCTACTATTTTATTTGAATTTACTGCTCACGCCCAGATGCACCTAGACACTGAATCGCCGCTTCCCATCATAATAATTATGTGGTCAATAAGTTCCAGAATCTGGTAGGTACATTCATAGATTTAATTTTTCTCTGGTCATGTAGCATAAATAGTTTTTCTTAGGAAATCAAGAAGTTATGAATCTATGTATTTAGCGACCAAGATCATATGATTTTAGAGAGAGCATGCTTGCAATGTCCACAATCTTATAAGGGTGTAGTCTAGTGTTGTAAGGTTCGAAAACATGATAATCTCCTATGTTGTATGGCCAATACATGAACGATTTTTCTCAAAGTATTAGAATATATATTGAAATGTGCATGGATATTTCTTATGAAAAATGCAGTCTTCTAGAGAAAAAAATCATCTTTTCTATTAAAACATGAATATATTTCCGTACATAAAAGTATTAAACAGGATATGAATAATTCATTTCAAATATATTAAAAATTATATCATGATACATGAACACTTTCCATTTTGTAATATACTCCCTCAGTTCCTAAATACTCCCTCCGTTCCTAAATATTTGTCGGAGCAAAATGAGTGAATCACACTCTAAAATATGTCTATATACATCTGTATGTGATAGTCCATTTGAAATCTCTAAAAAGACAAATATTTAGGAACCGAGGGAGTATAAGTCTTTTTAGAGATTCCACTACAAACTACATACGGATGTATATGGACATATTTTAGAGTGTAGATTCACTCATTTTACTTTGTATATAGTCCATAGTGAAATCTCTAAAAAAAACTTATATTTAGGAACGGAGGGAGTATGATTTTTCGGTATGTAAAATGATTCGACATTTATTTAAAATTCTGCTAAATAATAAAATCTAAAACATATGAAAAATAATTATGAGTTACTAGGCTGTGACCAATGTTGAGCACCTTTTTCTTCTTTTAAGAGGGACAGACAGAAACCGGTTCCTATTTGACGCTAACTGCGATAATTTTGATAAGTCGCACAAGGCCAGTGACCTATCTAGCAGAGTGAGCCAGACCATTTAGCCTGGAACGCGCTACATGAATCCAGGGTTTCAATACCTCCTTGAAGGCGCTTTTTCGGGTTTTACCGAATTTTCCCAGTTTCATTTTCGTAATTCTTTAAAAATCATTGGTTTCTTAATTTTTTTGAATTTTCCAAAACTGTGCCCAAAATATAAAAAAATCAGGGTTTTTACAAAATATTCATGTTATGTAAATGAATACTCAATTTTTATACAGTTGTTCTACAAATTTTTGGAATCATCTAGCGCAATTGAGCATCTTTGATGCCAAAAAAATCAGAATTTTTTTTGAATTCTTCTACTATTTTATTTGAATTTACTGCTCACGCCCAGATGCACCTAGACACTAAATCGCCGCTTCCCATCATAATAATTATGTGGTTAATAAGTTCCAGAATCTGGTAGGTACATTCATAGATTTTTTTTTCTCTGGTCATGTAGCATAAATAATTTTACTTAGGAAATCAAGAAGTTATGAATCTATGTATTTAGCGACCAAGATCATATGATTTTAGAGAGAGCATACTTGTAATGTCCACAATCTTATAAGGGTGTAGTCTAGTGTTGCAAGGTTCAAAAACATGATAATATCCTGTTTTTCTTTCTTTCTGCTTTCTATTTTTCATTTTCTTTCCATATTGTTTAAATTATTATGTATATGCCTTTAAAATTTAAATTTTCAGTTATGTTTTGCTTTCATGGCCAATACATGAACGTTTTTTCTCAAAGTATAAAAAGATATATTGAAATGTGCATGGATATTTCTTATGAAAAGTGCAGTCTTTTAGCGAAAAAAATGAACTTTTCTAAACTAGTATGTACACACGTGCAATGCACGTCTTAACAGTATTGTTCCTATGATTCTAGTAAAAGGAAAAAAAACATATAGTACTTTGCAACGAATTCAGAGCAAAAATAAATATTGTTGGTGTATGCATGCACAAATGAAGTAATAAAAAATTGGTAATTGGCATGATACAATGCCTATGGCCTAGTGACACCCAAAAATTTCGATAGGGGAAAAATTGAAGATTTACATGGTGAAACCCACTAATTGTTTGTTTTTGTTTATTCTCCTAGACAATACATCTCTCGTACTCGGCCAAGGGCGGAGCCAGGATTTAGATACGAGGGAGGCGAAAAGCCAATGTTCACAAAAGTTACGGAACATCAGGATATGTTAGGTCTCACGATAGCATTGATGACAAATTATCAAAATATATTTCTAGAACTACAAAAGAATGTTACATTTCCGTTAACTTAAATTGAGCTCTAAAACCAGAAGTGTCGAACAAGTTGATAATGTGAACTTTACAACTATTTTTCTTTGCAATCATGTATGTCAAGGAAAATTGTCTTCACTATATTTCAAAAATATGTCTTGAAGACAACTGGAAGAGAATTAAAGCAATTAGCATTTAACATTAATGCTTTTTGCCACTGTCATTCGTATGGTGATTTATGCCATGAATTATAAAGTGATGGTTTTTTGCTAATGAAAATTGGTATTGTGGTGGTCTTTACATTTCACTGGGCTGCAGCAAAAAACGCCGTAAGTAGTCCAGTTGAACACGCACGTAGATCAATCAATCGATTAATTGTCCAAGGGAAAAACAATAGTTAGCCACACCTACATGTATGGGTCACTCGGCTTTGGTCTTCTCTATATTCGGTGTAGTTGGTTCCATGAATATATTTTTGTACGGACTAATGATGCAATTAGCTGCGGTTATTAGCCGTTGTACAGTATAGAACCTGCTAAAATGTTCACTCTCCGCCCCTGTCTCGGCTCTTTGCCTGATGCACTGGCACATGCAACATGGCGAGAAGAGAGGAGGTGTGACGTGATTGTTCTAGAACCTAGAAGATGCAAGTGAAGAGAGGAGGTGTGACGTGATTGTTCCAGAAACCAGAAGATGCAAGTGTGGGTTACTGTTTACTGCGAATCCGTTGAGTCTCAACCATTAGATTTATGAGATCAGCGGCTAGGATTGATGATGTTGCTACAATTCAAAATTCATACACTATATAGTAGTATAGATACATGAATATATTTCCGTACACAAAAGTATTAAACAGGATATGAATAATTCATTTCAAATATATTAACAATTTTATCATGATACATGATCAGTTTCCATTTTGTAATATAAGATTTATGGGTATGTAAAATGATTCGACATTATTCAAAATTCTGCTAAATAAACAATTCGAAAACATATGAAAAATAATTATGAGTTACTAGGCCGTGACCAATGTTGAGCACATTTTTCTTCTTTTAGGAGGGACAGAGAGAAACCGGCTCCTATTTGTCGCTAACGGCGATAATTTTTATAAGTCGCACAAGCCTAGCGAGCTAACAAGAAGAGTGAGCCAGCCCCTTTAGCCTAGAACGCGCTACAAGAATCCAGAGTTTGAAAACCTTCTAGAAGGCGCTTTTTCGGGTTTGACCGGATTTTCCCAGTTTCATTTTCGTAATTATTTAAAAATCATTGGTTTCTTAAAATTGTTTTGAATTTTGCAAAAATTGTGCCGAAAATATAACTAATCAGGGTTTCTAGAAAATATTAATGTTGTGTAAATGAATACTCAATTTTTATACAGTTGTTCTAAGAATTTTTGCACGCACCTAATATTGGAAATATGCCCTAGAGGCAATAATAAAATGGTTATTATTATATTTCCTTGTTCATGATAATTGTCTATTGTTCATGCTATAATTGTGTTATCCGGAAATCGTAATACATGTGTGAATACATAGACCACAACACGTCCCTAGTAATCCTCTAATTGACTAGCTCGTTGATCAATAGATGGTTACGGTTTCCTGACCATAGACATTGGATGTCATTGATAACGGGATCACATCATTAGGAGAATGATGTGATGGACAAGACCCAATCCTAAGCATAGGTCAAGATCGTGTAGTTCGTCTGCTAAAGTTTTTCTAATGTCAAGTATCTTTTCCTTAGACCATGAGATTGTGCAACTCCCGGATACTGTAGGAATACTTTGGGTGTGCCAAACGTCACAACGTAACTGGGTGACTATAAAGGTGCACTACGGGTATCTCCGAAAGTGTCTGTTGGGTTGGCACAAATCAAGACTGGGATTTGTCACTCCGTATGACGGAGAGGTATCTCTGGGCCCACTCGGTAAGACATCATCGTAATGAGCTCAATGTGACTAAGGGTTGGTCACGGGATGATGTGTTACGGAACGAGTAAAGTGACTTGTCGGTAACGAGATTGAACGAGGTATTGGGATACCTACGATCGAATCTCAGGCAAGTAACGTACCGATTGACAAAGGGAATTGTATACGGGATTGCTTGAATCCTCGACAT